GTTATATATTTTAAAGTTATGTATTCATTCATCAAACATTTGTCTAGTCAGAGTAGATCTTGCCCCTTGGGGAAGCTCAATAGAGTAACTGGCAGTAAACCTTTAATATTCTTTCGTTCTCAAGGGAGAGAAAAAGAAGTATTTGCATAGAAAAAAAAAATGACCTTCCAGGTCCAGCTGATCATACCTTTACTTAATCCTTCTCCCATAAGTGACCTAAAATTCACATATGTGAGTTTTTCCCTCCCCTGGGGAAGATTTAATAGGAGTCACAGTCTTAATCTCAAATTGGAGTTTTCATCATCTCTCCCTCCCCTCCCTGTTCACATATTCCTCAGAAATATGCTGTGATGGCTCAGTGAGGTAGTGTGTCAGTTTCAGGGCCCTTGGTAGGAAACAGACAACACAACACAAAGGAGTAATTTGAAGAAGGTTTAGTAAAGGGACTTTTTAGAAAAGTGAGGCAGGGTTAAGGAATCAAGAGATGGGGACTGCCCAAGGTTTAGCAATAGTGGGAAGATGTTCCTACTCCTACCCTCTAAAGAGATAAGGGGATGGGAATTGCAGCTGGAGGACATTAATGATGACCTTCAGTAAAGGAAGGAGCCATTGCCACCTTGCTGTCCTTATGGAGGAAGTGCTGGCCTTTCCTCCAGATATCTGGGCTAGTTCCCCACATGGGCAGACCCAAGGAAGCACAGGTGATACAGTCCATAGAGGTCAGCCTCCTGGTGGAGAGAACAGGGTGACACTGGGCAGAGCAGTCTGGACAATCCACTGGAGAATGACCAGCACAAATGGTAAGTTTCAATGGGATGGGAGCAAACATATCAGAATGGGGGGTGGGGCAGGGAATGTGTATAGTTTAAAAAAAAAAAAAACGCACTCAGAGTTTCTAGAAGAATGTAGTCTCATCCTCCTCCCTGAAAAGATCAAGTAACACTGATCAAAATAAGTAAAACTGCAGCAAGAGAATGTCAAATAAGCTAGGTGATTGGAGAGATCATTCATTCACATACTTGTTAATTAGTCATTCACCAATCATCAAAGATGTATTTGTACCTCTAGGCATCAAGCATGCAAAAAATGAATTAGATGCTTTTGTATGTTTGAAAATTTTTATAATAAATGTTGGAATTAATAGATTCTATAGATTCCCTGACTTTGAAAATCTAATAGACTGGATCAGCAAGGTTTCCTGGAGGAATGGAAGGCTCAACTGACTCTGGGCTAGCCAGAGAGGAAAGAGCTAGGAAGAATGTTCAGGAGGATTGTTTTGAGTGGGTGTGGGATACTGGGAGGAGATGAGGTACAGAGGTAGAAATCTACTTCAAAGTTCAGGATTGCATTATCATGTGTGCATTTTAGAAAAATCCCTTGATCATCAGGGCCAAGGATGAGTTGGTGGAACAAAAAGACAAAGAAAGAGAACTGATGTGGGGATGGTGTGAGCAGTGGCCATGCATGAAACCAGGATCTGAACAATACCTGGAGGCCCAAAGATGAAGAGGGACAGATGTAAGTGATAATCATGAGGAAGAATTAACGGGACTCAGGAACTGAATGGCTGTGGTGTGAAACAGAGGGAAGATGCTTTGGTGCTGTTTTGCCTTCTTGTCATCCCCCTACTTTTCCAGCTAACAGCTCCCCAGTCTTCCTTTGAGAGCACTGCTCCTACCTGCCTGAGTATAGTTTCCATGGAACTGTTATCTGTAGATTCTTGTCTTCTGTGGTTAATAGGGTGATTACATAACCTAACCCAGGCCAGTCTTTGTGTCTTGGGAATTTGGAAATTGGGCTTGAGCTTGATCCTAGATCCTGCTTGGTTTGTGTCTTTTTAAAAGCTTCTTTCTGGGCACCTGGGTGGCTCAGTTGGTTAAGCAACTGCCTTCGGCTCAGGTCATGATCCTGGAGTCCCTGGATCGATTCCCGCATCAGGCTCCCTGCTCGGCAGGGAGTCTGCTTCGTCCTCTGACCCTATCCCCTCTCATGTGTTCTCTCTCTCTCATTCTCTCTCTCTCAAATAAATGAATAAAATCTTTGAAAAAATAAAAGCTTCTTTCTTTAGTTTCTTCCTCCTTAATTTTGTATGTTACCCAAAGGCCTTCTTAAAAAGTATTTTTTTTTTTACTTCAATTAGTTATTTTCTATTGTTGCAACCAGAAAACCTCAGCTGATTATAGTAGCCATATAAATAGTGGTGTCTTCCACTGAGAGACAGAAAACAAGTGGAGGAGAAAGTTTGAGGTGGGTTTCTTGGGGGAATGGGTGGGCAGTTTGCTTTTGAGAAGCCTAGAGAAAACTAAAGGAAAAAATCCAAAAGTTGGCCCTGGAGGCTTATGAGGAACTCTGAAAATCGTACCATAGGGTGTAAAAGCCATCTCTGGTACTTAGACATAAAAAATCCTACCCAACAAACTGACCTCCTAAGGACTTACTTATACTTCTCCGAGAAGAGTAATGCTTCAGAATCAGTGGGGGAGAGTGGAGGGAGCCTAGTTCTAGGCACTAGGAGCCCTGCGTCCTGGCTCTGGCTCTTTCACTAATTAGCTGGACAACCTTGTACCAGTGCCCTTCCCTCTCTGAGACTCAGTTTCCATGTTATTGAATACAGGACCTGAATTATATTGGGTGTTATCCAAAAATTTCAAAAGAATTTTAAGTTTACATGTAAAAGGATCAGCCATGCTGGGAAACTGGGTTCAACAAACCTTAAACCAGTTTCCTTACTGCAGGACTTCTCAAAATCTTAAATATGCTCATTGGTGATGCAAATCTCCAAGAGTGGTGAAAGTGAGCATTTCTCACCCTATTTCTGCCCAAGAACCCCCCTTCCCCACTTTCTTGAAGAAACATGTAGAACTAGTAGTCGTCAGAACACGCTTGCAGAAATGCTGGATCTGGTGATTTTCAAGGTTGTTCCAGCTGTGATCCCTGATTCTGTATGGCCTGTGTCCTGTGTACCTCCTGTTTCTTTGGGATGATTGACTCTCAAGCTCGGTTTTAAAGTGTTCTCCCAAGGAAAAGCAAGCACACTTGAATGCCTATGAAGTCACTTGGAGATCTAGTCAGGCTAATGAAATTCCCCATCAGCTTAAATGGAAAACACAGTCCCTCTACCCTCACACCGTACTCAGAGCACAGACCCAGGCCCAGCCTAAAGGGATTGCAAAACATGCTCTAGTGTGCATTTGGGAAAACAAAGAAAACCCTACTCTTTTCTGCTCCAGACAGTCTGAGACGCTTTTGTGCCCTTGGGTCTTTGCCCAGTTCTCTCATCTGCCTCAGTCCTGGTACTAAATTGGTTCAAGATTTGGAGGAAAGTTTCAGAGGAAAGGATGTTTAGAGTTCTTAAAAGCTGAAGTCACCCTATGGACCAGAGCCTATGGCCTTTATGGCCACCAGAGGGCGCTGACAACAGTATCGGTATGGAAAGCTGCTCCCAAGAATAACAGCAGTAAATTACACCTAACGTGTTTATGAATGATGGAGGGTCTGAAGTGTGTGTGACTGTGTATGTATGTGTACACGTACGTGCAGTTGGGTGCCTGGGGCTATGATTTTGAAAATATGTTAAATAGAATAAAATAAAATCTGCAGCTCTACTATAGATTCACAGGATATTGTCAAGACGTTGAAACAAGGAAGATGAAGTAGAAGGAATTAGAATAGCATTTATATGAAAGAAAAGGAAAGAGCTCTCAGTGGCATAATTGTTATTGTGGTATGTGTGATTGTGTGTGGTGTGAGACTATGCATGTATACATGTGTGTATGTGATTGTGTGTATATGGGTGTGTGTGTGTGAACCTGAGTATAAGCATGTGTGTGCACAAGTGTGTGTGTGTGTGTGTGAAAGAGAGAAAGCACGTGTGCGCGCACGCGCATGCTCAGGGCTCATTTAGACTTCCATTGTGAGCAGACCACAAGGAAGTCTGGGCAATACTTCCTCCAGTTCCTGCCCTCTCCCTCCAAACAAACAAACAAAATCATTCCTACAAGTATTTATGGAGCCTCTAACACACGCGCCCCTCCCCACCAGCATCTGGAAAAGCTCAGACCTGGCCAATTTAGAGCGCTATGGAAGAATGAAGGCTGTGGGGGCAGAAGGGATGTCTCACATGCGAATGACTGTTGTGCAAAAAACACTTTCTCTTCTTTGATGCTCCAAACAACCCAGTGAGGTGGTCCCAGACAGAGCTGTGGCCCCTTGCTTTGAGGAAACCGAGGCTCAGAGATGACGTGATTGGCCCAGAGTCACCCAGTCAGGAAGCAGAAGCACTGTCAATCCAGGGGTCCCAGTCCCTGCCATCACTACTTTTATCAGCTCAGCCGGCATTGGGTCTAGGCAAAGCAGGACAGGCTTCCGTGTAAGGTTTGCCAGCAGCGACCTGAACAAGGACAAACATTTTATGTGACATGTGTGACTGTGAAATGCGTTAGTATCAATACAATAGGTGCTTTAGGAAGAAGTTGTGGATCTTTGCCAAGATGAGGTAGGATCTTTGAGGATCTTTGTAGATGAGTGAAGTACACATCTTCGATGGGCTGTGGTGTAAAATATGAGTGAATGTGAGTGCTGCGGTTTGGGGTACTTAGCAGCTGTGTGGCCTCGGGCAAGTCACTTTACTTCTCTGAGCTTTGTTTCATCTATAAAATGGGGTACTCAGATGCCCCCTTGCGGGACGGTGTTGGAACCCAAGGAAAGACTATGAGCAGAGTGCCTAGCTCAGTGCCAGAATAAAGAAAAAGTGCCACCAGCCTGATCAATCCTTGGCTCCGTAAGAGGGAATGGGTCTCAATTCTGGGGCCCTGCTGGCCGAGCCCCTTTCCTTCCCTCTCCCTCATCTCCTGCCTCCTCCCCTCCGGGCTCTCGGTCGCTCCAGCAAAGTTCCCAACTTAGTCGACATGACGTGCAGCGCAGCCAATGGGAAGCGGAGCTGGCGTTTTTGGGGAGGGGGGAGGGGTGGGCCCCGCGTCTCCGGTGTCTGCCCTGCTCAGTGAATGGAGAGAGCGAGCGCCGGCCGGCTCACCCGGCCGCCCCGTGCCCCAGCCGCCGCCGCCGCGCTCCCGAGCTCAGCCCTAAGTCGGACCTCCTTAGGCGCCGTGCCCACTGCGCTCGCCCCCAGGTCCCCGACCCGGCTGACGCCTCGGGTCGCGGGCCAGCGGGCCCAGGAGGCGCTCGGTACCTGGGCACTCCGAGCGATGCACAGCGGGGCACAAGCAGCCCCGCGGATGGAGCTGCTGCTTCTGCCGCTGCTGCCGCCGCCGCCGTCCGGCGCACCCCGCTCCGCCCGCGCCCCGTGCGCCTGAGCGCCGAGCTCGCTCCTCCTCCGCGCCAACTCCGCCGCCCGCTCCCCAGGCCGCTTGGGCTCCGCGCGCGCTTCCCCGGGCTCCGCGCGTCTTGCCCCGCCGAGGCAGCCTCCTCTGGGCGCGGGCCCCTGCACACCATGGCCCCCGGGCGGACCGGGGCCGGCGCCGCCGTGCGCGCCCGCCTGGCGCTGGCCTTGGCGCTGGCGAGCGTCTTGAGCGGGCCCCCAGCCGCCGCCTGCCCCACCAAGTGTACCTGTTCCGCCGCCAGCGTGGACTGCCACGGACTGGGCCTCCGGGCTGTTCCCCGGGGCATACCCCGCAACGCCGAGCGCCTGTGAGTACGCCCGCCCCGCCCAACCCGAGCCACCCCCTGGGTCCATAGTGGGGCCCCCAGGCACCAGATCTTTCCTTTCCCCCTGGCCGCACTGGATGCAGTCTCGCTGCCACCCTCTCCCGGGTCGGATCCTTCTTTCCCTGAGTTGGGGTCTCTGGCGTTGGGTAGGTCTAGGGAGAGAGGTCTTGAAGCCCACTGCGATGGGCAAAGAGCAGTGCTTTTCCAGGGGTGAAGGCTCCAGACGCAGGGCCCGGTGACAGCTTCCAGCAGAAGGCTGGCAGGAAGCGAGGGGAGGAAAGAACACCACAGCCAGTCAGGTCTTAGGGTAAGGGCAAGGGGTCCGCGCACATTTAAGAGGGGAGCGGAGGAGAAAGCTGAAAGGTGGTGGGGCGTAAGGGAACGGAGACCCGAGAGGGCCGAGACTGTGACCAGCTTGGAGATCAGAAAGGGCCAGTTACTTCCTGGCTGCCCTTGCGAGCGAAGTTGAGAGTGTGTGTGAAGGTCTAACTTCTGAGGAACCGAACGAATTCGGAGTGGGTGCTTGCAAAACCCGCCCTGCCTGGAGCGCAGCCTCGCAGATGCCAAGTTGCAGCCGGGGTGAATTTTTTATGGCTCGGTTATAAATGCCTCCCCAAGCGGGCCGGAGAATGGAAATGCTGACAGCCCTTTAAATGAGACCGAGCGCTGTAATCTTACAAACCGCACTCAGCCTCGGATCCTGGGTTTGGCAGCGAGAGGAGAGGCGTTTGGAGAGTGGGGTAGATTGACCCTCGTTTTAACCCCAATTGTGCAACCAAATATTTACTTTTCATATGTCAACGTTTTGGAAACATTTATCATTTTGATCCTCGGACCAAATTCAAAACTTGGACTCCGAGGGTGGGCTCTTCCCAGCCCACAGTTGGGGAGTAAGGAAAGAGGGAGAATAGTGGAGGGGGTTGGAACCGGCCTGGGAACACAGCCCAGAAGTGGGTGAGGGTTTGCTCTAGTGTAATCCACTTCTTCGTGTCTTGCTCTCCCTCTGTCTCCCTTGCCCTTGCATATTAGGGGTGGGTACACTGGGTCTTCCATTCTGCCCTCTTGCCTTGAAGCTGGAAGATAGTGGCATGAGACTGAGTGAATTGTCCTACAGTGTGTTATTTCTCTTGATCACCTCCTGTCACTCTACTTCTCTTCCTCGAACTCCATGTGTCCCTGGGCAGAGACTCAATAGAACTGCCTTCCTTTTTCCTGGAGGTTTCCTGTGGCTCAAAACATTTTTTTTCAAGTGCATTCATTATTCTGTGTGGTCATGCAATTCTAGAGCATTGGAGCTGAACCTTCATTAACATGTAGAAAAGGAGGCTCAGGCATTTGAAAAGACTTGCCCAAGGTAATGCAGCAAGTTAGTGGCAATAAAGAGGCCACCATCCAGGTGTCCACAACTTAATTCAGACCTTATATTTTACAAAGCAGTTAAAATTTTGTTGTAGTGGTATTTTTGGGTATCTACCACTCTGCTAGCCATCTTTGGAACAAGAGTCAGTTTGGGCCAAGATCTGTAAATAGATGATCCTGGGAGGGTTCTGGCTGGGCTTGGGAATAGGCTGCTCTTGCTACTGCTTCGGGTGTACCCTGCCAACATTCAGCTTGCTATGACATTAGCTCTGCTGGTTGGAGTCTTGAGACTACCTCTCCTCCATCCTCAAAATCATGGTACATGTTTGGGAAACCAAGGGGAGTGGGCCCTTCTCCTGCTGGCATGTAGGAAGTCTTCAAAAGCTGCAGGCACAGCACTGCAGCCAATATGCCACCCACCCACCTTCCCCAGGAGACCCAGGCAGCTTGGAGCTACCCATCTGCTCTACAACTGGAGAAACTGGGTGGAGACTGAGTCCTGGGCATTCCCACAGTGCCCTGCTGCTGTCATGGTCGTTCGCAGGCATTGGCAGAGTGGGAAGTACTTTGGAATAGCTGAGTCTCATCTGCCTTGGTTCCAGTCACTGGTGCCCCTTTGGCTGGGGTGCGTGGGGTGACGCAGCTGCCAAGGCTGGCTCCTCATTCTGGTCTTCTTCCTCCCCTGGGAGAGGGGAAAACCTTTAGAAGAAAGCTTGGTCAGGAGTGCTGCAGGGGTGAGGAGGAGCCCACCAACAGTCCTTCACCACCTCTCATCCTCTGTCAGTCAACTCAGACGGAACATTTGAGTTCTGCAAACTCTTGGGGGGTGTTTGGCATTTCTAAGCTATGGAATAGATTTTTTTTTAGGGAGGAATTTCTCATTCATTCCTTTCTTCATTCATTCAACAAACATTACTTGAACCTCTACTGCATTCCAGTAACTGTATATAAAATCATTGCATATACAGAAGAAAACCAACAATTCAACTTAAAGAATGGAAGCAGAGGATAGAAGAAGGAAACTTCCTTTAGTGAGGCTTTGAAACTCCCCAGGACTCGTTTCTCCACAGGGTATACGGTCTGTCGGCATTGGCACCACATGCTCGGGACCTTCCTAAAATCCAGTTTCCTGATCTCTAATGTTTATGTTGTGTTTTATAACAAAGGAGAAGCATTTTCTCCCTTTTCCATTCCTGCTGCTTGATCTCCCAGAGAGGCTTTTCTGTAGGAGTATGTGTGCGCGCATACGTGCGTGCATGTGCGTGTGTATGTATGTGTGTATGTGTGTCATTGTTTCTCTGGGGGTTTTTGACATCTGAGGCCTCATCTGCTCATGCACTCTTTAAGGAAAATCTGCATGGGGATAATGTGGTCACCATTTGGACTTTGCTTTAGGCCTGGAATGGGGCTTGTTATATTATTCATAATTAAGCTGATATCAGAGTTGGGGGTCTGTGTTGCAGCTTCTTCTCCATAATGTCAGCACATTACACGGAAAGAGAAACTCTCTGTCATTTATAAACTACTGACAGTTTCTTTTTTCCCCTCAATGAGGAGGTGATACCCACAAGAAAGCTAAATAAACGCAGGGGAGAATTCAGTGTAATTTATTATCCATGCAGCAAAGATAGAGGACATGAGGAGAGGAAGTGAATGGTGGTGCCTGAAACAAAACATTTACCATGGAGCACAGAGTAAACAGATGTCGCATTTACCCTTCTGAGTACAAAAGGAGCCCACAGATGTAATTCTTCTCCAACCACAATCTCAGCCTGGAAAAAGAGCGGACAGATGAAAACGAACTCTCACAAGGGGCCCCTTCTCCCCACGCTGCCTAAAGGCAGGCAGAGGCCTACTTCTCACCCACGGGGAGGTGGTGGCCTGAACAGCGGAGTGGGGCAAGAGTGGACATCTTTGGTTTTTCACTTGGCTCTGGAACATGCTGGAGACTGCTGTATTTAAATAAACATTTCCTGTTTGCGAAGGAAAACGGGCGAAAGGCTGAAACGTGAGAATGTGGTAACTTAATTTTCTCCATCACTCCAGATGATGGCAAGCTTCGCCGGTGGTTGGGTCCAATAAAAACCGACACCATGTCACAGGCTTTCCCTCACTTGACCGCAGAGGTCTCCAGGTCAAGTGGGAGACTTTCCAAGATGCTCCACGGCCAAGCCCTGCATCCTGGTACTACTAGCTTCGGAGCCAGCTCAGCAGATGAGGGGCAGTTTGGTGAATGGCGAGGCCTCTCCGAGCCACCCATGGTGATGTGGCCTCTCAGAGAAGCGCAGTGCTCTCCGGGGGAACCTGTGGGTTGGACGTGAGCAGTTAGGCTCACCTGCCTCCAGTGTGCTGTGCATCTGGATAGATTGCTTTGCCTTGCTGGGCCTCCTTTTCCTGAAAGCAGAATTCTAGTGTAGTCCTGATAGTTTTCCCTGTATGGTCCTCTCCCCCAGTGCCTGGCACATAGTAGGTTTTGAACTAGTATGTGTTGACTAAATGAGTAAGTCTGAAAAATACAAGTTTTTTGTTAGTTCTTATAAGTGAAAGATGGGGGATTATGGTTTTGCATTTTTTATGTATGGCCAAGGGCGACTTACTAGTAACCTATTACGTGAGTTATTGAGGTTTTCTAAAATTTGGTTTTCATGAACTAAAATTATTGCCTCACTAGAGTTACTAAGGACTCCTAATGAGTGATCCACTCTGGAGTCTGGTTGCCAAGCATTGCTTAGCAACCTTGCAAAACTCCTACTGTGCACATGCCCATGAAAAGAGCTAGAAGTCTCCCACACTTAAACTGTAGGCCTTTCTAATCAGGAACTCATCAGCATCATCCTGTGCTCTCTGTGGTTTTTGATTGCTGCTCTTCTTGTATTAATTGATGTATTTGTAGGGTCATTATTAAGTTTCGCTTTTGCCCATCATCTGGGTCTTGTATATTTCTGCATTTTTTGCATTCTGATTGTTATTTTGTTTCTCTCCAGTTCTGTTTGTTGTCACTGAGTTCTTCCTTACCTGGAAAGTGAGAATGGTAGATCTGAGAGCCATTGGATCTTTTGCACGGACTAGGTGGGCTGTGGCAAGGCTTCAGAACCCCATGCCTACTAGTTCAGGCTGCGGGCTCTGCAGATAGACGGCTCTGGTTTGAATTCTGGCTCTGTTACAAATTTGCTGTTGCACCATGGGCGAATTACTCCACTCCTCTGGGCTGTAGTCCATTTAATCCCTTTATACTGTATTTCCACAGCTGTAATACAGGGATGATAATCACACTGGTCCTGTGGGCATGCTGTGAATGTGGCCCCGGACAAACCATGTAATGCACTCAGCAGAGTGCCCGGCACTTTGATTCTCCAGCTACTACTCTTTACCTGTAAAGTGTGCGTCATAAATGTTCCTCTTGGGGAGAATCAGATAAAATAAAGAACGGGAAGTGCTTAACACAGTACCTGGCACTTAGGTCTCCACCAACTATTAATAGTGGTGACCATGACTATTTCTTCTATTTCTTCATCTCAGGCCCCATCCAGCTGGAAAGTTTGAGATGCCCACTCTAAATGTGCCCCATCAAGGCAAGCGCCTCGCCTGCACGTACACTGTGCTCAGCACAGCTCGTGCCTGCT